ATTAAAGAGAAAAAAATATTGAAAATACTATTTTTAGTTGACTGTTCCATTTAATTCATATAGCATTTTCAAACTAAGATAAATATGACAAAATAGCCTTATGGATAATACGCTAGTCTTTCTAACTGAGAGTATTGAGTTCGAATCTAAGAGATAGCAGAGATAAGATCTAAATATAAAATTAGATAACGCGGATCAAGATATAGAAGTAACTCTGGAGCAGTGTAGAAAAGAACACAGGAAAGAAAGGCTTTCAGAAAATATGGAATTCATTTTTTAACTCTTTTTTCTTAAAAAAAGTTTTCTATGAAACGGAAACGTCTTTTCAGCCGTTTTTTTTTCAATGACTATTTTTCAATATAATAATATTGAAAAAAATTGGAGATAAATCGCGATTTATCGTAATAATCGCTAAAAATATCATTAAAAATCGACGATTAATCGCGTTTCAGCTCACGATTATCGTTTCGATATATCGTGATTAATCGACAATTTTATAGCGATTTCTAGGACATGGGAAAAATATGTTTTTTAATTGTAGCTACAAAAAAAAAGTATTATTTATATTGAATAGGATCCATAATTGAGGAAAACTAGCTGTTAGTTGTCAAGTAATATCAAAACGAAAGAAACAAAAAATATCAGAGTTGGATTAAATAAAAAATGATAAAGAACAGAAATAAAGCATAGATGATTGACAATGTATTTAAAATAATAATAAACAAAACATTTATTTCAACAATCATCTCCGAATTAAATTTTTCAATGTCAATTTCGGACCAACGACATGATGATACAACGAAAAGAAAATGTACCTTTTGTTTAACCCTTCTGCATGTACGCGTTGAAAGTAAAAGTCGACTCTGGTACTGAATTCAAGACAGCACACAACTTCCAGTTTCTCTTTCCAAGTTCACTGATTGCAGTATGCCCGTTCGCCCAACCACCTCTGTCTTGGATAACGATTATAGTTCCAGATGGTGCATCTACCCATTCAGTCCACTTGTTCGCCCGAGAACTAGATACATCCACAAAAGCCGCCATATCTAAAAAAATCATCCGTTGAAACTACTGAAAAATGACTCAAACTCCGGAGTAAATTCATATTCACATGGTGTAACGAATTTTGGATGGAGCTCTTTCATTACTATACATGGGAATATTTTATTTAATAAATGATGACAAACTGGAGGAGTAGCGTTACAGCCATCCTCGGTATAGATATTAACCACACTACTCCATCGATTCAGTTGTGTCCGTCTTAACATCGCACACAAGCTTATATAAGATGGAGAAAGAAAGAGAGAACAGCAAACATACTAAGAAGAAACGACAATACACAGAGGATAAGAATAGTACACAAGATAAGAGAAAAGGCAAATATGATGATGCAGCGGTCACCACGTCTCTAAGCGGGAAAAGGTTAACGAAAGGTGAACCGATCACGTGACCCAATTATCGGCACACATGGGCCACAAAGAAAAAACACTCTGAAATATGATTATATTCTTTTTAGATTTTAATCTAATACGTTACGTGCAGCTGTTCTTGATTGCTCTCTAGTCACCGTGTAATGTGTCTACGATTTGTCCAATATATGTCAATACATTATACATTGCCTCTTGACATAATCTGTTGGTTTTTTCCTTTTCTCTTCGTTGTGTATAACAGGTGGGACATATTGAATGGCCGCATTTTTCGTTTCAATTTTCATTCACTTAATATATTCTATTTAAAAAAAAATATACAAGCACAAACTGCAGCGTGAAAAGCTTGAAAATTTACACACAACTGCTTTTTTTATAGCTGCACTTTTTGCTTTCAAAATAATCATAGCTTTGAGCGACGAAATTTCAACCGTGAGAAAGCGATATTTTTTTGGTACAAGAGAAGTTCGTTTTTCTTTTTTCATTTTTTTATAATTGTTCTTTGTAAATTGTAGAACTTTTCACGTTGCACCTTGCGATGTACTTTGTTAGCATCGACCGATGACATTATGTTGTCGATAACGAAATCAGTCGTTGTCCCTTGGTCATCTCTTCTTTTCCTTTCTCTCACATATGATTCGTCACCATATCATATTCATTTGTCCATCTCTCTCTTTTCTCTTTTCTACATTTTACTACCTACTATTACTGTTCAGTTGTCATTTTTGATCCATCCGAATAACATCTCTTTTTCTCTCTCTCTTATTGTAACCTTTACTATTACTATTTCCCTTGTGAACTTGTCTCTCATTCCATTGTTCTCATCCTTATTATTATTATTAATAAAACTGAACTAGCTCTACCTTTACCATCATCCCCATACTACAATCTATATTATCAAGGTAAGCAGTTACATTTACGTGAGAAATCTCTAACCCTTATAGACCAGAGTCTTAAATTATTATCTTTCGGCTTACGTGATTAACGTGGGTAGAAGTCTATGATAGTAAATAAACAGAGATTCTCACACTATCTGTTTGTAAATTCACGAAAGGCATCTGTGAGTAAAGGCTAGAAAAATCTTTATAGGATTTTTCTAGATATTTTTCGATGATTCTAGAAATGCTTTGCATAAGCAGTAGAGAGAGTCAAACAAAGAATGATCTTTCCAATAATACAATGTTACTTTTAACACTTAACCAAATCCAATGGATTAAACAAAAAAGTTGCACTGACACATTTAATTAATATCGACGCCTTTCTAATTTATTTACTCATCGTAAATTTACCAATTGTTAATATTGTTTTTCTTCTTTGTAACGAAAGTGAAAAATGTAATGAGAGAATTTTCTCAAGTGATCCCATTCATTTGAGCTCAGATTTTTCCGATAGATTAAGAATTATAATGAAGATCAAAACTCTGAAAGAATTTAACCCATTGTTATTTTGTTTGAGAAGAACGAGCACAACAAATTCTGTATTTCAGATTATTTTGTTTGTTTCATATCTCAATAATTTAAATCGAAAATTGTTTTACAAACTCATCTCATATTTCATTTTGACTTTAAAATTCACAAGTCAATGTAACCTGTCGTTCTTGCGGGTAAATTACTCGTTCTCTATTTGTTTTTTATATATACGTAATGAAGTTGATAACGCTTAAAGAAAATTGTGACCGATTGTCTTTTATTGAATACAAAATATAGAGAATGAGTAAACGAAATAAATACTGAAGAAAGCTTTGAATAAAAAAATCTATTTTTCTCTAAAAAACTAAAATAACTACTGTTCAAATAATAATATTTAATTATTTTCATGTTTTCGCTAGGAACATTTATTTATTTTAAATTCTCTCAATTTTAAATATAAAATGAAAGTAGTGAAAATAAATGATAGTTACTCTGCTTTCTCGTATATGACTATCGTTCACCTTTTTCTCTCAATATTTATTTTTACTAATCACTAAGGTTATTCTTTTTATACTTGTTTGTTTATTTTGTTATTGCACAACTTATAAAAGAGCTATTTTACCCATCAAGTAATAACGTTAAAACATTACTATTAAAGTGATGTTATTCGTAAAAGCAATATTGATAATAATAGTCTACTCTGATAGTTATATCTTGTGTGTCTATATACTTTTCTTGAAAGGTGTATCGTGCAGAAAACAAATGAGACAAGATAAATAATATCCAAACAAAAAAAACCTACACCTTAATAATACAATCGTCACGTTTCGTTCTTCTTTTTTCTCATGGCTGTGAGTTTTGCTTTTTTTTCCACACTCCTTACATATCCTAATAAAATACAGATTCGAAAAACAAGTGAGAACACGGTAATTGAAAAATAGATAAATGGAATTTTGTTAACATTAGATATTCTAATAAGGAAAAATAGAGGGTGTGGGATGTGGGTGTGGGGTGTGGATATAGGTAAAGAGAATGCCCACCTCGACACCCACACCACACCTAGGGGTGGGAAGTTACCGTTACCAGTTACTTTTTCCCGGTAACTTCTCAAAACGATGAGTTATCACTTCCATTTGACCTAATATCGTCATTACATTATTTATTCACTGGACCCGTTCCCAGGTAACTGGTAACGGATAACAGTTACCAGTTACCGTGGTAACTCCAAACACTGTTTACTGATGGATTGTCGATATTCGGTCGAATAGAAGTGATAGTTCGACTTGTTGAGAAGTTACCCGGAAAAAGTAACTGGTAACTTCTTCCATAGCAACCGTTACCGTTCCCGGGTAACGGGCTGGGAACGGTAACTTCCTATCCCTACCCACACCCCACACCCACACCCAAATTTTCTGTTAAAATTTCGATTGGAATGACTGATCGAATAGAATGCTCTGATAAAATGAGTAAACCCTATCTAGCTTGTTCTATTAACAAGGATTGTTTTTTTTTTCTAAATTACATACACTATTCGAACAAGTTGATTCTTTCGAATAGTTTATCGTTTCAACCTGTGAACAGTATACTAGATTTAATAGTGTTACTTTTTAAACTAACTACCTTCTTTCAATAAATAAAACATTTTAGTTTTCTATTGATTTACAGAATCATGCAATGATATATATCCGTAAGTCATATAGTCATAATAATCATTGATGAGATATTTTATTTAACATATGATAATCATACTCATACTTTCGATACTAGAAATGAGACGATAATATATTACAACAATATAAGGAAAACAATTTCTGTTAAGTTCAAAGGTTTATTTTCAAAGATTTCTAAGAGAAGAAAAAAAATAACACGAAATGAAACCATAGATTGTCATAGTGTTAACTAATATTATTGTTTTTATTATCGTATAAATTCAAGTCAACAATTTTCATATGCTGATGAATTTTAAGATAATTACATACAGTAATTTAACTCCATGAGAGACTTATTAACAATGAGATAAAGAAGTTTCAAATTTCGAACGTTAAAAGCACACAACTAAATCAATCATTTAGTGAATATGTACAAAATGTAATAATAATAGTTTTTCTTGTTTATTAAAAAGTGATAAACATTTTAGAATGAAACAATTTATTAACAATCAATTTTACCACCATAAATACACATCGTTATTGTATGGATTAACTTTTGTTCTTGTTAAATAGACATCGAACGACTCCTGCAATACAATAAAGTTCTCCAGTATATCGAATTCAGTATTAGACATATATTTAATACATAATAAAAATAAATTATGTGTAATATAATTACTTTTCGAGAATAAAAATGGTAAAACTAATTGAAGATTATCATTCGAAATTTTCATTGTAAGATATTGTAATCGAAGACATAAATTAACAAAAAATTTTGTTATTTCCAATGTACAATCTAACATAATAATAATTTCTTTAATATTATTTGTTTTGGATAATAATTGAAATGTTTCACTATTTTCAATTGATATTAAATCGAAATACTTAAGTGATTCACAATGAATTTCGAAAGTATGAATATTAGGTGATAAAAGTAATAGTTCAATTATTTCCACAAAACGATCAGGGCATATATGGATGACTAATTTAGTAAGTTGTTTTAATGGAATAATATTATTAAAACTGGTTAAGTGAAAGTTTTGATTTTTTTTTTCATAAAAATATGAAAGAGTAAGTTCAATAGCATTTGGAAAATAATATCTACAATTAATTATCTCTTCTTGCTCTTGAATTTTAACAAATTGAACTGGATTTATGTTACATTTTGGACGAAATGAAGAGGTGCTCATGACTCTTTCATCATAAATTGAGTAAGATTTTCTTCTAAAAATTAGAAAAAAGAAAACATTTAAACAAACAAATCTTATTTCTACCTGTATGGATTTATTGAATAAAAGATAAAACCATCAAGTAAGTCATTATAAATTTGATATTCAAAAAACCATCTTCGTTCAAACCAAAATTGAGACTTGAAATGATTAGTTAGAGAGATAGATATGAATATATCTGCAGAAGAGTCTGCAGTATACGAAATCATAATATCAAAGATTCGCAAATGATGCATATGAAATAAAATTAATTGTTTCCATTGATTTTCATATAAATATGTTGAATCATCTTTTAATGTAATACATAAAACTTCAACTCGATTAAATAAATTTTTTATTATTAATTCAAATTCTTTGAAATTCATGTTCGTTATATTTAAAAAAACATGTGTCAAATGATTCAAATGAATAAAATGCTGTTGTTGATATGTTTCAGAAAATCGATTTGAAAGATGAATCGATAAGAGATGAAGTTTAGGAACATATGATAAAAGACCATTCAATTCGTCGAGTCGCAATAATTTTGTAATAACAAGATGTTCAATAGAACTGAATTCAGTAGTTGCAATAGGTAATGAACCAAGACTAAAAGGTTCATTTAATGATAATTTACAATATTTTAATACAGGTAAACGAAATATTTGATAAAAAACAACGTTTTTATTTTCAACATTATCTATACAATCGATGACTAATGACGATAGACAAGGTAAGGTAAGTAAAGACATAAGAATTGCATCAAGAAAAAATGATTTGATACCATGAAAAATGAGATTTTCAAGTCGAGTAAATTTTGATGGCATAGACATTGATGAAAAAACATGATCGATAATAAATGGATTTGATAAATGAAGCGATTTAATTCGATGCTTATTAGGCACGATAATCTGTGTGTAAAATTTGTGAAACATTGATTGCGATATTAATGGAAGTTTGATTTTTATCAGTTGACTTGAATTAATAAGAAGATTTTGAAATCGTATATTAAGAATGAAAAAAATTTTATATAGTTGAAAAAAATCCAGAAAATCGAATATTTCATAAATGACTTCATTGGAAAGATGTTCAAAATGAGTGATAGAATCCCTTGATGAAATAAACAAAAAAAAAATAGTTCAATTTTCATAGAGAAAAATCAGAAGATTTTTCATTTAAACTTAGTTGTTCAAATCGACTATTATTATTATAAAAATTTAAAAAAGCATACCTAATATATGTAACAAAAACAAATATATGACTCTTACTATATATTCTACTTTCTAGTTCTAGTTTTGTCTCTTCCATATTGAAGTCGACCGAAAAGTTTGATGATTTTGATCTATGAAAAAAAGATAAATAATAAATATCGATTTTTTTCGTCAAAGAATCCACTTACCGTACGCAGAGTAAGCAGAAAAAATAAAATATAAACGATGTCTGTGCCAATAATTAAAGCATTCTTGCCGAACGCGCCGCCTGATTTTTTGCCCGCTTACAACTATGGTGACCTCTGCATTATCATGTTTATCTTTCTTCTCGATTCTTCTACTATTTTCATTATCTGGATATTATCCTTTCTTCGTACCATGTGTACTGTTCTCTGTTTCTCTTTCTCTCCTACATAATTGTGTGTTCGTTGTCAGATACAACATTTTCAGAATATAAATTCCTTTCGGATAAAGATCTTATGTTTACTTGTTCTATAAGAGAAATATCGAAAGATAAAATTAACATTTTGACGTTTTCATTATAAATTATTGAATATTTAATTTGTTTGAAATAGTCTAGCGATCATATTTCAATAGATGATTTCGACAATATGTATGAAGAAAACTATTCCTCGCCTCCATCGAAAATATCTCACTAATGGATTATTGTTTTTATAATAGAATTATTTTTAAACGCATATATAATACTAATAGATTGATCAACAAAAAAGTCACATGTCTCGAAAGAAGCAGACTTCTTCTTTGCTAAGAAATAGAAAGTGCAAAATGTCTTCTTCTTCGCATTATATACGCATTCATTCAAACAATTTTTATTTTTTCATCTATCAAAAATTCATCTCAGGTAAATCTAAACGAATACTGTAACCGAGAAATGTCAGTGTTTCCGTTCTTTGAAGTTCTGTTCTTCAAAGAACGTCAATACATTTTATAGTGCTTTTTATGCCTTTTTCGATTTCATTAACATATTCACGTGTTCTTGCATACTCTGCTCGAGAGAGAGATTGCTATGAGTTCCAGTTTCGCTGAAATAGAACCTATATAGTGCGTTCCATTCCTAGTAACATAAACCACATCGTGAGTTTTCAAGAACTTAGGAACGCAGTTGTGTTTCCTTTAGCAGTGAACCATCCGTGTTATTTTTATATGCAGCATTAATTAACTTTTTGAACACTAATATCAGTCCAGACAAGCTATAATTACAACTTTATTCGTAAACATCGCCATGTCACTCAATTGTTAGTGTTAACTATTGACAAGTTCATTTAACCGCAATATCAATTTTAGCATTCTATGTTAACGTTTTTTTTTTATGTATGACTATTTGTTGACAATTGAACTACTACGCATATATGGGTGAATCCATGAGGCCTATACCACTTTCCTGGAAGTGGTCTTGGATTTGTTTTTCATGATCCAGTTTATCCGAATAATATCTTGCATTCATTAAAAAGACGAGGTACATGTATAAGATATAAGTGATTTATTATAGTCATATTATGTCCCATATATACGTTGCTGGTAGCTTGCAAACGAGTTTTGACCATTGATGTCACTTTTATGCTTCGAAAAAGGTCAAGAATAGAGTGGCTTTGAAATCTATCAATTTAACTCAAATATATTAGACATCTCACAATAGAAACAATTATCGATTTCGCACTGAATACTCTTAGAAACTATTTTCTTCTTTTTCATGATTAATGAATTGAGATTCAAAAAATGAATCTTTGTTCTATTTTAACTGTAAATAAGCCATTTCTTTCGTATGTATTTGATGTATTTCAACTGAGATCATCTCCAGTCTGTCGCATATATGTCGTAATTTGTACGCAAAAGACTTGTGGCGCCAGTATACTCTTTATGTTTTACTGGAGATTCATTGATTACATTTTTGTGCTTGATTTCCTTCTTATTGTCACACACTAGATGCATATATGAATAAATCAAATGAACACATACGTATATCAATCTGGATAGAGCTCCGGTCCTATATTTACTTTAATTTTCAGTAAATGATGGAACTCGTAATACTCATCCGTTTTTCGAAGGCAAACAATTTGTTAACCATTTCACTTGGCAACTAACTAACTTGATAATGAACTAATTACCGAAAATACAGTTGTCCTGTATGAGACCAAGCATATTCAACTCAGATTCGTTTTCGATCATTAATTTATTCGACGATAATGGAATCGGCAAACTTTATCTTCGAAAAATTTTGTTCGGCAAAATTTACCTCTGGTGAAAATGGAAAGTACCACATTTATCGTTCGAATGGACTATACCTTAGTTTTCTCACGTTCTATTTGCCACAGTTATGCTGTCTACAAGTCCAACATCTTTCGACCATTCATTTCAAACTCGAATTTATTTATTGTATAACTCATCGAAAGAGCTAAATTCCGATTTCCGGTTTAATTCTACTATTCCGAGCCGGGTGTGGGTGTGGCTGGATATAGCTGGGTGTGGGGGTGTGGGGTGTGGGTGTGGGTGTGGATGTGATTGTTCCCACACCCACACCCCACACCCACCCACACCCACACCCACACCCACACACCCACACCCAAATTTGACGAAATATGATGTTTTTTTTTCACGAATCATGTTTTCCTTTTCTTCATCATAAAACAGTTCTCTTTTTTCTTGGTACATGTTGCACATGCATGTATTTCCATTTCGACTAAAGAATATGTGAGACGAAGAATGTTCTTTTTATCCATGTGATCACTAGTGATATGAATATACAAAGATGAAGTATGATGAAAAAAGTGTAAGATGAAATAAAGACTTTCAAAAGTTTCTTAGCAATAGAAAACATAATTTAATTTTTCAATTAATTCAATATAAAAGTTATGTTTAGATATTTTTCTCACAAGTTCTCTCTAATTCTGTACATTTACACATTCGATGCGAAATATTAAGCTAACAACAACTGCTTTTCTTGCCATAATAATTTAATTTAAGTTATTCAGTACACGTGTATGTTACAAAACATGATGAAAAAGAATAAACGTGATAAAGAAAAATGAAGCGTTCGGAAAGATCGAAAGATTTTTGTTCTTCTTTTTGTGAAATCAAATATTTAAAATATTTCCTGAGAATTTCAAATTAAATTATTATGACAAATTTTTTTTATTGTGATGAGCGGGTGTGGGTGTGGGTGTAGGAATAAGTATTCTCTTGACTGAAACTCACCCATACTCACACCCACCCAAACACTCACACTCTATTCTTTTTAACATTGCATTGGCGATCGCGTCTTCCAAGTTGCCTTTGGCCCCGATAGAATCGAATACAATAATGGTTTCGTTATAGCTAGTTAACGTACTCATGAGTCTCTCAATCTTACACCATGACTATGATCGTTGCTAAATTCTTGTGAGGACAAATCTTTCAATGTCATTTTGTACTTTAAAAACTTAAATTTATGATTTTTTTCATTCTTCCACACCGAATTTAATTTATGTGCCTATTGAATTTGAGAATATGTTGATGTCAACAAGCTGGCCAGTTCCTACAGAAAAAAATTATCAAATAAGAGGCTCTTAAAAATAATTGACACTTTATGATCATTGTGTGACAAAGAGAGAGCTTTGACACGTTTTATGAATAGGATGTCGAACTTTTATTTTAATCAGTTAATTCATTCGAAGATAGTTCGCAAAGTACTTAAGACATTAATAATGCATTCAGCAATAAAAAGCTAACATAACTGCACCGTTTGTGCATGATTCTAATGTTTCATCATTATTTGAAATTTTTTACTTCGAGATTTCAAAGTTATATGCAAGGTGCAAACTGAAGACCACATTCAAAACACCATTTCCAGAATATTTCTACAAAATAGTTGAAACCCAAGAGATTGGTTGATTTTCTAAAGCGTAACAACAATCCAGAAGACTCATTGATTTATTGTAAAAAACCACAGAGGACATTCTCTAAGATGGAATCTCAACATTTAAATTAATTCGTTTGTAAATGGAAGCGCGACGTTTGTAAATTTCATGAGTTACTCATGAAGACATTTTTTGGCTACGAATAAGTTGAAATTACAATTTTTTCTTTTTAAGTCGATTCGAAATAGAAACAGGATGTTCATCATGAACGAAAATAGATCGTTAAAAGCTGCGGAGGATACCAAAAATGGTAAACGTTGAATACAACCGTAAGGACTAATTTTACAGAAGATTTGAAGAGAGTATGCGTGTGGATATTCCTTTTTCATCTGTGTCTATCCGCATCCGGGGTGAGTTTACGTCGATGTTGGTGTGCGTCTCTTTATCCACACTGTCAATCGAAAATGGCTATTTGAAGACGTCAAAATATCGAATGATTTTCATTTGCATCTAAGAGATAAGCAAGTATGAAGGGCTGAACATGTCTCCGATATTATTTTGCATGACAGTAGATAAAGAAAGGACAGAAGAACATGTTACCTTTTTTGTATTCTTTCATAAGAAAGAATACTGACCTTGGGAAAACGAAATGCAATAATAAAAATATTGTGAAGCATTTACTTTATCAGGCACACAGAGAACACGTGTTTCTATGCAGTCAACATTTTAAATTTTAGTCATAAATAAGAAAAGGAGAAAACAATGCACAAGTATCAATCGAAAAAAAAAGTAAAAATTGATAAATTTATATATCTTTTTAGAATTTCATATTAGTTAACAGATTTTGTCATCACAAATATTTGTCTTATTACGATTTTGATAATAATAAGTTCAATTGTATATCTTTATAAATCTGTACGTAAATTAATTCAACAAGAAAACTATTTATTTATCATGTTTCAAAACACCGAAATCTGATTATATTCCTATATTTGGTCATAGGTTCTCGTTAGTTGGTCAAATTTCAAAACAAGGTAACCCTATCAAATAAATATCATTATTTGAATTCAATCTTTTTTGGTAGAACATTATCAATATTTTTTGAAGTATTACCGATTCTTGTATTCAGTTCAGTCGACTATTTTGAAGGTCCATATTGATCTTTCAGCTGTTGTTAACGATTAGAAAACATTCGTTTTCTGACGTGATGTGAGAAGGGTCTCAAGTGCGACATGCCTTTTTCAATCTAATATACATATACCAGTTCGCAGAGCTCAATAAGACTAGAAGAAGCCTAAAGTGATTCATCCACTGTACATTGTTTTTCTTGAGTTACGGAATTTTGCTCTGTAATTTTTTGTATAGATAGATTTTATCGTCTATGGCAATCTCTAAAAATTTCAGTCCTAAAAAAATGATTTTTTTTTTGAGATATCAAATGTCAGAGCTCGAAAAATTCAGTACAATGATTCAAACTCGACAAGAACTGGAGATAGGGTACGGGAGACGAACCATATTAGTTTTCGTCTAGTCTTTTCACATTCTAGAAACTGATAAATATCATATATGAAACAGTGCACAACGCTTGGGAACCATGACTTCATAGTGAAAATAAAATTTTACTATAGAGACAAAAGTTGTGATGATTTGAAAATATGTGCATAATATTTAATATTTTTGAATTTTTAAAAATCATCATCTAGTGATTCATATAGACTTTATTTTCAAACAATCTGATAAATTTTCTCATTCTATTCATTTCTCTAGATTTTTCGGACGGCTGGTTCAAAGTATTTAACTAAATCTTCAGACTATGCATTGTTCGATGATTGGTTAAAAACGGGATTGGTAGTTAGGTTGGTTTTTCATGGAAATATAGGTATGAAAACAAAATTTACTTCAGTTTATGATAAAAGACAATTCTCAATGTGTTTTTTAGTTCAGGTAAAAAATGGAAAAAGTTTAAAATATTTTTAGACATTAGTTGATCAAAGAGTGGAAACTAATTTATGTCTATTAATTTCAACTTGGACACTTGATGTCATTTGTGGTGAGATGTATTTTGATCAAAAGATTCTCTATCAATGATAATCATCATCTTTTAAATACGTAGACATCAATGCGTAAAACAGTTCAAGTTTATAGCTTTATGAATGTGTTCACCATGATTATGGTCTCGAACAATATTTAAAGTTTCTTTTCAAGATCGTGAACATGATCACCTTCTGAAAATCATACAAAAATTTATTCGACAAGTAGAAATTCCAACGAGTGAAGCTAAACATTTTGCATTGAATATCTGTTATAAAGTGTGAATTGTATTTTTCTCTCAAGATTCCTAATACTATAGTTACTCATTTTCGAGTGTATGTATTATATGAGTTAATGCTTAGAAGTTTGATGCTATGGATTTATCTGTAGGTTTCAACTTTATTGGATACAATATTCAGATATTATCCTCAGGGAATATCGTTTACCTAATAAATACATCATCACATTAGATATGATTTCATTTCATTACAAAGCTTTTGCATATGAAAATATTCAGTCAGTTATATTTCAAATTATTTTCTTAAGACAAAGAGATAACTATTATCGGAATTTTAAAAAAAGGCCATCGGGCAAAATGCTTATAACTTTTGAATGAAGATAGTTAGAGCCCTGCGATTTTCACCATTCGAAAGGGGAGACAAGGGGACGCCTTTTTCTTCAATATCGTATAGGACGAAATCATTTAAAAATCAGTCATTTCTAGAACACATCGAAAAAATGTATAAAAAACGGTCTGCCATTCAAATGAAATTTTGACGAAAAGTAAGAAAATATGCTTAAAAATTAAAAGAACTCTATAGTTTTCGTGCGATTGAATAGACAAGTTTATTTGTTCAACATTATGAGGTGGAAAGATAATCATTTGAATTACATCTTGAACTATACATCTGAAGTTCCTATATCTAAATCAGATGTCAGATAGTTTTCATGCATTTTTTCGATGTTTTGTAGAAATGACTAGTTTTTAAATGATTTCGTCCTGTACAATATTGGAGAAAAAGGCGTCCCCTTGTCTTTCCTTTCGAATGGTGAAAACCGTAGGGCTCTAGCTATTTTCTTTCAAAAGTTATAAGCATTTTGCCCGATGGCCTTTTTTTAAAATTCTACGAAATAGATTCCAAACAGTTATCTTTGTGAAACTTTTCGTTAAAATACGACTACAATGCATCAGCAAAAGAGTTGGTGCTTGTGACGTTAGAGAAGCTTTCAAAAAGTTTTGAATACGTTATTCTGAGAGTAAAATAAGATAAAGCCAATAAGAAATTTCTGTTTCAGCATATAGAGTTGTCATAATTTAGAAAAATCTCTTTTCCGGTAATCGAAGATCATATTACTGACTTTTCGTCGATTGATCTTCGACATCGAATGGCATTTTTCGTTATTCTTATTGTAAAAATGAACGATGAACAACTGTAGGTATGCGTGCCGGTGTAGTGTGGTGGAGTACGGGTGTTGGGAAATAAAACATCCAGTCTCACATCCACACCCATGACGATGCAAATCTACTCTACAATGATGTAGATTCACTAGAAGATCTGTTCGATGCCCTCGCTGAGATGAAATGAGAAGCTACTTACAAAAGTATGCAAACTATGTACACGTTATCACTTCTTCAAATCAATTGTTTTTTCTTGTACAAATATTTGTCTCTTACTCTATAATGATTTTTTCCTTCACCATTGACTAATATAAGCTTGTTTTGAAATGTGCAATTTTATACCGAAGCTGTTCAAATTAATATAATGATAATAAATATATTTACTTTCAGATTTTCAGCGTTCATTAGTCTAACGAAAATAAATATTTATTTAACGATAGAAAAAAGGTAAAGAATTAAATCTATTGTAAAATAAACTATCTAATATGTTATAGTTAAATAGAAATGGCAATAGAATCCACGCTAAGAACTCCATCTGGTCTACAAATTTATTTAAGTCATCCATGGTATTTAATTAAAAGTGGATATCTTATTCTAACATGGATTATGCTGGTAAATTTCATATTTCTATAAATGATTTTTTATCGTAGAAAGAATCAGGAAAAAGAAAACAAATTATTTGATATTTAAGGGTTTTCATCTTGAATTGATTGGTCCAACAATGCCAACTCTTGCAGCAAATATCAAAGTTACGTATAGTGGTATGGGTTCGGTGCTTGCATCGAGAAGTGCTGGATATTTATTTGGTAATCTTCTTGGTGCTATTTTGCAAAATATTGTCAAAAAACATTCAGAAGGTCTTCTGTTTTTTGCATTTATTTTACCTGCTATTGGTAAAATCTTTTCATAAAAATAAAAATAATTATTAAATTCCTTTCTTTTCAGTGGTTTTTGCTACTCCATTTGTCACATCATTGATATTAATGTGTATTTTATTTTTTATTCAAGGACTTTCTAAAAGTTTTACAGATTTAGGTAAATCAAAATTTACACATTGTTTTTTTTTATTGAAAAAAGTTAATTTTGAATAAATACATAGGTGGAAATAATCTCTTATTGACAATGTGGGGTGACAATGCTGCAGCACCCTTAAATTCAGTTCATTTTGGATATGGAACTGGTGCTGTTTTTGTTAATTTACTTGTTCGTCCGTTTATTACTCAAAAAGTTTTATCGATCCATGTTACAAATAATGAAGAAATTAATTCAACATTATCATTGATTAATCCAACAAAAGTTAATTCAAACATTATTATTCCATATTCAATCACTGCAATTTTATGTTTTTTAATTGCTATTGGACATATCTTTTTTTATGTTTCAGAAATAAGAAATCGAAAACAAAAATTACAAGTACGACAGGTCATAATAAACTAAAGAGAAAAAATTAAAGTAGTTAACAAATGTAATGCATATTTAGATCGACTATTCCGTTGTAAGCACGAATCTAGACAATGTTAATCCTTCAGTGAATAAAGAAAATTCTTCTTCATATTCTCCTCGTACATGTGGTCGTGGATTTTTTCAATATGGTTTAACACTTTCAATAATATTTTTTATTTATGCATTTTTTATGGGTGGAAATAGTCAAACATTTTCAAAATTCTTTTTTTCTTATCTCAAATTTGATAAATTTAATCTATCAAATGAAGCTGCAAGTTGGGGAATTACTCTTTATTGGCTTTCTTATTCTGTATGTATTCTCATCGTATTTATTAAAATCATTTCAAATAGTTAATAGAAAAAGAAAAATAGAAATGTTTGATGAACATAAATCTGTGAAAAAAAGTTTTCATCAAAAATATCTTCAATTAAAGAAAAACATTTTTTTTGATTGAAAAATAAAAAAAAAGAATTTTTTGTTAAAATAGATCGGACGATTAATTTTTGCAATTGTATCTCTATTTCTATCAGTAAATCTATGTCTTAGTATTATTTGGTTTGGAGCTTTATGTCTTGCTATTGCTTGGCTTATTTATGTTTGGATTATTGATTTAACAAGTACAAGTTTATTTATTCTTGGTGCAGTAACTGGTTTGATATTTTCACCAATATTTCCATTATCATTTGGTTTTTTTAATCAAAGATTAAATGTTATACCAATGCTTCTTGGTTTATTATTAGGTGGAACAGCACTTGGAGCAATTACATTTAACAAAATAGCTGGTAAATCTTTTAAGTGATACATTATATTTAATTGTTTTTTTAAATCGTTTAGGTGTAATAATAGATCGTGATCCAAATCATTTTCCAACAATTTTAGCTGTTTGTATATTAATAGCAATTATTTTTTATATTGTTTCACATATTGTTTACTTTTTTCATCAACGAAAAAATTTATTAAATGCTCGATCTTCAGTAATCAATGGTCCACCTCTTTCTTCTGAATATTGTAATGAAGAAGAACAACAAATTGCTAATTATTTAAAAGATCAAGAAGATAAATAACAAATTTTATTCTCATTTTTTTATATTTCGATCAAAAACTTTTAGAACAAACTGTTCAATATAGTTTTTTTTCTATTATCTATGTAATAAAAAGTGATTCTATTGTATGTATGTGTGAATGTCAAAGAGAGTTAAATAATTTGTAGGGTGTGGATGTGGGTGTCGATCGATTCTAATTCCACACCCACACCCACATCCTCCGCCACCAAAGGGTTAATAATTAAATAAGAATGTGACGGAAGCATTACAAAGAGAGTAGGGGTGTGATATGAGTGTAACTGTGCTATTTTTAATTCAACAAATACCTACACCGATACCCTTCTTCTGCTAAATATCAGTATATTCATGAACATTTATTTACTAGCAGGATTCCTGCAAGAATGATCAGTTTTATGTGTAAAAATCATGAAACATACCGAAATTTCACTTAAAACATTCGGAGGAAAGTCAAAGTCACTGTATAAATCTACATGTCTCAAAATTAAAAAACTGTTCAATTTGAAACATTTAATTTGTTTTTTATTAACTTTAAATGGTAAAGCATTTAAATTTAATTTAAATTTTTCACTTCAAAAATATTTAAATATCTATTGTAAATTTTTCAAAATTTATTATTCGATTTAATAAGTTCTTTTTAAATTGAAATATGACAGTCCTAATAAAGAATCATCACTCTATTTGAAGTCCTCTTTAGTTATTGTTTAGATTGCATCTCGTAATTGAACAAATATACGTTGTTGATTCAATGCTCATGTTCAACCTCTATTCTGCAACATTCGCATAAAAGTTTCTTAATCTTTTCCCATGCTTTGTGTTTATTCATTAAGTCCTCTTGTTTCGCAGGTAAAGGATGCAGATAACAACGTTTACAGCACCGATTAAAAATCCAACGTACTTGATAATTTAACATTTCGAAGTAAGCTCCAAGTTCATATACTTTATCAATGCGAGTATCCGTTGCCCTCTTCAATAATTCACCAATATCATCAACAGCCAAAGCTAGATTGTAGAAAGATAAAACTTTATATAAGTGAGAAGTAGAATTCATTATTACCTATAAGTACATTGGTTATCAAAATAATAAATACACAAACTAAAACAATAATTATGATGAAACTCATTTCTTTATAATACGCCGTATTTTCTTCTCCAAACATCAGATCGCTATAATTGATTTCACCGGTGCCCATAATACCTAGATAAATATATATACAGGGTGATTGAAAAGTAACTCCCTAATTTAAATTCTTTATTACACTCAAACAACAAAAGATATCGTCTTGACAACATTTGGAAAAAACTTTTTATTTTTAGCAGTTTATTATTCTTGAACTGGAAGCAGAATATAAGTGTGCGGGTTTGGGTAAACATTTTTGTATTGTCTAAACACACATACACACCTGCATGCACATCCCACACCTATACGCATGCTCACAGTCACATCCTGGTTCTAGTACAAGAATAATAAACTACTAAAAATAATAGTTTTTTCCAAATGTTGTCAAGATAAAATTCGGGTTAAATCTTAGACAGCCAAATGATCAATCGATTTGTTTCATCTAGAACAAAATGGCATAGCCCATGCTTCAAAATAGTGAAAAAATCAGGGCGATATCTTTTGTTGTTTGAGAGTAATAAAGAATTTAAATTAGGGAGTTACTTTTCAATCACCCTGTATAAGAGAAAATATTATATTGAAATAATCCATACATTAAAATATTACCTATCTTAATTAAATTAGCAAAAAAGTTTTCAAATTCTTTAAAATTTTGAAAAAGCATGTAAAATGCAGATGCAAATGCGAAAATGAAAATCATCAATACTGGTAGAAAACGCAAAAGTCGTACGAATACAATCCGTATCATGATAGTATAGACGCCTATCATTGGTACAAACTGTGCATAATATAATAGAGCTAAATAACCAATGAATATTCCACATGCACCAACTTGCCATTGTGTTGGACAACGCATTTTTACTGACTTTTGGTAACTATAATCGTGCATAAAGTAGTAATTCAATAGGAGTGCAATTATTTCCGGAAAAACTTTGACAGCCTTTTTCCAATCCATAAATAAAAAAGTCAGAAGTACAAGAATATTCTTAACGAAAAGAAGTGGCCATAATACATATAATGTTATACGAAGTTTCTCGTCATATGTGTCTCTCATATTCGTATTATTAAGTGCTTGAATAACATTCTTGCATAAACTTGAATCGAACTCGTAACCGGTCAAATTATAATAATATTGAGGATGTTTAGTTCGCACGATAATGGTTGTAAAGCAAGCAAGATATGTGAGATAAGATAAAGCAGTAATAGTAAACAAAATTCTCAAACCCAAAGTTACCTTTGAATAAAGAAGACTTGTACTCAATGGATGGGACATCAATCTATATTAATCCTTTTCAGCCATTATAAATAATGGATGATTCCGGAGCAAAATTTTAGGATTGAGCGTGTACGGTTCATTCTCATCCAAATCTTTGTCGCATTGATTGATTTCGTCATTTATCATAGACTTTATTTCCCCATGCCCTTGAAGAAAGAGGTTAACATGGTAACATATTCATTTTTGAGTGTTGTTCATTACCGATTATTTTCTTACCTTTCATCCAGTTACGAATAGCAAATTGATCTTCTAAAAACTCATAATCGAAATTATTTTTATGTAATTTTGTTCAATCAGCACCGAGCATTGTTGTACATCGATCAAGAACTTTGTAAGCCATGTTTGGCATAGATATAATCAATTTCCGCATAGGCGTGTCAGCTTCATCAATCATACAAGCTCGTCTAAAACACAAACACTTGCAACAGTTCGGCCTTGTGCAATACGGAATGCAACAAGATCTTGTTGAATTTTCGCTAACGTCAAGATTGCTGGGATCTTTTCCACTAGAATCAAATTTCAGTTGTGCATTTCTCATCATTGGAAACAAATGTTCACTCTCAATGAGATAATTGATCACATCCTTATTTTTTTTTCTGATGGCTAATTCGAGACAGTTATGATATTGAAAATTTCTGAGTAGTATATCCGGACGAAACTCCAAGATACATTTGACTGTAGACTCCGAACCATACTGGCAAGCAATCATCAATGGTGATTCTCCGTAAATAGTTGTTGCGTTCAAGTCGGCTCGTTTTCTCACAAGAAGTTCGATACATTCAAGGCGACTTTCATTTGTTTTTTTGTCTGAATCGGACCCACGGGTAGCTTCATGAAGTGGTGTGTAATCATTGATGTCACGAACATTGACATCGATTTCGTGTTTTAAGAATAGCTTGAGAATGCGTACATCACCTACGAATAAATGAGAATAAACATAAGTTATTTTCTAGTATAATTTGCTCATGAGAACTTATAGTATGATGTTTATTTTTGCAGCACGATCAATTCTATTCTTAGAAATCTATGACATTGTCAAAGCGAATTATCAATACGAAACTATTTCTATGATTTGATATCTTAAAAAGAATATTATCAGAAGTAGCTAAAAATGTTTTTACCTTTGAATGCTGCCACATGCAAGCTAGTATAAAGGTTTCGATCCGTATTATTGATCAAGTTAAGTTCGTTCTCTTTCATTGATTCAAGTATCTTCTCTACAATTTCATAGCGTTCATGTTTAACAGCTTCGTGGAAAGCCGACAACCCATCATTATTCTTCCTTGTAAGTGTCGAATATTGATCTGAAGTTTTATTCGTTAGCAATGATAATATTTTATCGATCATGTAAAAATTATCTACTTGAGCACAAATATGTACAGGTGTATTACCCATCATATCATTATCTATTACATTGACATTCTTCTTTTTTGCTGCATTTAATAATAAATCAGTGATGTCATTATCTTGAATTTCTGCACAAATATGAAAGACAGTTCTTTGCAGTTCAAGACTGTACTTTTCCAACATTTCTTTTGTACAAAATTTACTTTGAACAAGTTTTTTGATACATTGAACTCGTCGATATTTAATAGCAATCATCAATGGCGTAAAATAATAATCATCTTCGTATTGGTGAGACATACTTTCTTCAGTAATAAGTGTTTTGCAATATTTGTCATAGTGAATTAGTTCATCTCCATTAGACTGACGACAAATCCAATAAAGTCTCGATGAAACATTATTTACCTCGTCTGCGAAATGCGACAGAATACTTTTACCACGACAACGAACAGCAGCTAGGATAAACTGATGAATGGTACTGCTGCGATCAGTTTGTGTTGATACTTTCTCCAAATATTGCATCACAATATCAAGATGACCATATGCAGCGGCCACTTTAATCAGATCCTTATGATCAAGTATGTCGACATCGATCTTTCGATGTCGAAAAATATCCGCAAGCATTTTAGATTCGCAATAGCGAAATGCATAATGAATGGATGACGCTCCTTGAATATCACGAATCTATTACATTTTCTTAGTTATAATTTTAATTGTTTCATGAATTTTGATAAAAGTCAAAACGTATTAAGAACAATATTAAACTTACGTGCCAGTTGGGCTCTTTTTTCATCAGTTCATACATGATGTGCTTGTGATTTCTCATGATAGCATGATGTAACGGTGTGCGTTGTCTATTATCTTGCATATTAATCTTCGCGTTTTTATCTAATAAAATGTGCAAAACTGATTTCTAAAAGTATTCACAAAATATGTGTTTGTGATTCGAAAAAAATACTTGTAAAATTACTCTAAGTTTGCTTCTTGTTATTTTTTCCAGTTCTAGTTCTATTTCAGATGACGTTGCAGCAAGATGAAGTGGTGTTTGGCCATCACAACCCAACAAATCAATATCTGAAAAATAAAGAGTAAATGTGAAATGAAAATCAGTTTCCATCATCTGTACTAAATAATTAGATTGTGGAAAGTGATCTAACAATATTGTTAATCAGAGAGAACCTATCTCGTTCGATTCACTTTAGCACAGATTGATCACTTTTTACAGAATCATCTGTACGTGCAACAAACTAGCAAGCGTTTTCACAAATTAATCTTGGATCGTTTTTCATTGGAACAATGAACTAAGTGTCACAATATAAACGAAAATCTTTTTTTGCTGTATATTCGTGACTGACATTGGGAACGATCGAGTTTGTCAAAAATCCAAATTTCATTGGTTGAATTTTATGAAAAATTTTCTTTCAGAACTCTGTTTTTGAGTCATAGAAATTGAAAATCTCCATGTTTTTCTATCTGAGTATGTGAAAAAGTATCCAATAATGTAATATTTCTTTCATTTATTCTCAATTTTTCTTTAGAAAAGATACATTATAATTCATATTTTTTACGCACGCTTTTGAAAAGTTTCATATTTATAGCCGTTCTATCTAAAAATCGACTTAAAAAAGCTTGTGGATATTATTCTACCAATATTCGACCAGACCAGATTCTGTCGGACTTTCGCCAGTTGAATATGTAGTTTCAACCGACCGACTTTTTGGTCGAAACGATCTGGTAGTCTATTTTCCAATCCATTCTAACATTTTCATCGGCCAAAAATGCTCGAGATGTCCTTTACTCGTTATTCCTATTCTCATTCTGTTTTTCTCTGACATGCATCTCAGATCTCTACATTTCATTTATTCTTTTCGAGCACACATTTTAATGTTTACACATATTGTTACACACTTTCATGTACACTTTGGATTATTGTTCTCTTTCACATATTATCTCTAATTATGAACTTGCATTGAAATTTTCTATTACACCTCGTGTTATTCTGTTAGTCCTCTTTCATGCAATAGTAAATAAAGCACGAAGAAAACATATAATATACCACAATTCTTGTCATACAAATGAATTACACGTGTAATAGCTGTTAGAAAATATATATTAGCTCAGATTGCGTCATAATGAACCTTACCACATTTATACGTATCCAGTAATCTCTTCAATACGTATGTATTGTTTCCGAGAACTGCATAGTGAACTGGAGCATAGTTTTCTTCATCAAGCTTTTGAAGTACAGTCTTTTTATCGTGTCTATACCGTGGTTTATTGAGAAGTTCTTCGATGTTGTTCATTCTCCGTTCTATGCTTTTTTCATCTTTACAGAACGAAACCTATTTGTATGATGAAAAAAAGTGAAGAATATTTATATTGTATGAATTTTACGCTTTTTAACAAATCATAGATCGTCAATAATGTTTCATTCGTATTTTTTATGTTGCTTTGATGCGCTGTTTCCATTTCGTGTTCATTTTGCGATAATCGATCCATAGGAATATTATCAATTTCATCTATGATGTCAATAGAAGTATTATTTGCTTGAATTGGAATTACTCTGTTTGGTTTTGCCTGGAATAACATTTTATTCATCAATGCTGCAATTTTGAATTTGTATGATTATAGAAAAATGCATTGCCTTAAACAAAATAATCACTTTTAAAAATACTTTAATCCAAATAAAATGATCGATGATTCATTTAATGTATTATTATTTTACAATGCGCCGTTTTTCATCTAAGAAAATCGTTGTATATAGATGCTCTTAGACAAGCAATGTCACTGATGTTATATAACAGAACAAAGAAAGGATGACATCTATTTGACTATTCTAACAAAGTGATATCCAAGTACAATCTATTCCAAAAGGGGATATATAATTCATTATATTAATTCTAATCACTTCTTTCATCACAGTTTGTAACGATATTTGCATATGTCAGCAGTTATCTTGATCATAAGACGGACAGCATCACACGAAGGCTGTTATCGCTACCTGTGTCAGGGTAAAATGTACAAACTCCCATGATTTGCATCGTTTAGTTGTTGATTCAATAACGAGCCGTCACGTTTCACTGGATTAAATTACAAATATATGTGAGCAGTAAGTGCAAAATAGAATCAATCAAGATTTAGAAGGCGGAACTCTGCTTCCTATCAATAGGTACGAGTACTACAAAGAATAATGATATGATGTCCGATGTGGATATTGGTGATGTGAAGGTATGGGCTATAAAAAGTATGTGTGCAAGTCTATCGAAGTTTTGCCTTCATCAGTATTTTCGTACAACTATTGAGAACATAAAATTAAGAATGGCGCAACTACCGGGGTTTATTCGATTCTCTTAATGAATCTTCAGTATCTGACGATTATATCTGAGAAGCCTGACAAAGTTATGCATCACTACACCAAGACAAACAACCATGGTTTTTATCCCTGAATAGTACCAAATAGCTGTATTTCAGCATATGACGAGTTTTGTGACTACTCTGGATATTCGATTATTCATAGGCCTAATAGACATAGGCGATATAGGATAGAAGGATTCATGAAACGGTAAGGATCCTTGGGAAAGAAGGAGAAGAAGGCACGAGGCGATGGGTAGTTAAGAAATGTATGTAATAGTTATAGGAGGTATAAGAAGGTTTTGCGTAATAAAAATAAGGTCGGTTGCAGGAAAGAAAGCCCAACTTGACGGTGGTCAGAGGAAGAAATGGAAACATAGCACAACATACGAATGCTTCGACGGGAGCTTTTTGCAGGGCAACATGTGAGTATATTTGCACTCTCCAGGATTGTACTCTATATGAACCCTATTCGAAGCTTCATAAACTCTATTTCAAAAATAACAAACAATAATCCTTATTGAAATGATCACATGACTCAGAATGAATCCTGTAGACTCTAACTGACGATAGTGAAGGATCGAAAAGGTTTGGCATAAAAGCATTTCTGAAATACGTTCCGTAATGGATCCTGAAAAAGTAACCTCAATATGAGCATACCAACACTTATATTAAACTGCCTAAGACTAAGAAGGATGTGGATGTGGGTGTGAGTCTGAGTGGGACGTGTGGGTAATGAATGTCCATACCAATACTCATATGCAGACCCAGACTTACCCAGACACCCATTCGATGTGCTTCTGTATTTTCTACAAAATTATCTGAAAGACTTATCAATTCCAGGTAAGTCACTAAATTTCGTGCAGTTCTTGAAAACAATTGTTGAATACTCGTTTTTTTATCTGTGCACTCGGTAAATATCATCTTTTTGGTTTGTTCTTGGAAATTTGATTGTGATTGGTAGGATATAGAGGATAGTTTACTTAATAAAATCCAACGCTTACGTGTAATCTTTGGTTTCAGTTAGGAAACCCTTTTTCGCATGAATCGAGTTAAATGAAAAACTGAACGAAAAAATTGTTTTCATGAAATGATTGACTTACTATTTATAGTGTACAGCTTGAAATAAAAGTGTGTTACTGAAAAATATTTGTTTTTCTGTCTTGTACATACGTAACCAAACTAGTTTCTTTTAGTAGAGTTGTTGTATGCAATGAAAGAAAAATTCAGTTTCGATTTTTTATAAAAGAAAAATAATTCTATTGTTGTGGTTTTGACTTTCTCTCTTCTTTTAAACAGTAACTATTTTGAGAAAAAAAGAAAAGTGCATTGTTTGCCTATTGTCTGATGACGATAGTCAGTGTTACTTTCGTACAGAACTGAACAAAAACTGTGTAATGCAGTTTCATTAAATATACCTAAAAAAACCTTGAATTTAAAATCATAAGAGAAAACGCAAGGAGAGAAACGTAAAAAAATAGCATCATTATTTTTGTTTGATAAATAATCAAAACTCAACCTTCCCAGGCGAGCAAAGGACGGGTAAAAAGACTAGTCATTTTTCTAGTCCCGACTAGTCCGAAATCGTTTGGAGTCTTTATATCCCGTCCTGACTAGATAACTGACTGGCATCATTCTATTTGTTATGTGTAGTCATTTTCGCAAAAAAGACTAGACATGTTGTGCTGTTCGGATGCCCGCGTGTGGGTGTGGGTGTGGGTGGGTGTGAGTGTGGGTGTGGATGTGAGCGTGTGTATTGTCCTCACATAGCACACCCACATCCACACCAAAACTGCGTTCTTTTCTTTAGACTTTCGTCTAGCTCTATCCCCTTCATTATAGAAGATCCATTCGTATACAGTTCTTAACTGTCGTTTATAGAATTCTTGAGGTTTCTTGAAAAACTCACACCGCATTTCCGACAGAAAACATCTGCGAATTTATGGAAGCATTCACTAGAGACTCATTGGAGATGTGCTAGAGATTTCTCTACAATTCTTGCTATAATATACAGTTGTTGTAATGGATTGTGGATACAGTTCTTTCGAAAACGAACCATACTCATGTCGCCTTCCTGCGAATTCGATGAAACTTTCGCAAGCAGTAAAACTTGATATCGTCGCCTCAAAAAACATCTTCGAAAACTCTCGCCATGATGTCGTGGGTGTGGGTGTGGGTGTGGGTGTGTGGGTGGATGTGGGTGTGTGGGTGCGGGTGTGGGTGTGGGTGTGGGTGTGTAGGTGTGGGTGGGTGTAGGGTGTAGGTGTGGATGTGGATGTGAGTGTGTCAGTGTGGGTATGAAAAGAGAAGAACCAAGCACAAACCCACACCCACACCCACACCCACACCCACACACCCACGCCTACACCGCC